TATATATTAAAGATCATTGTGAACAGTGAAGACAAACAAATCAGCAATTTAAAATCATGTGCAGAAGTGTGTATAAATTATAAAACAGTTTCAAAACATCCATTACAAGGAGATTATAAAACTGTAAAGGAAAGAAATGACTTAATCTAAGGCTGCCATGACGTCAAGAGAGTGCAACAGTGCAGCAGTGGAGTATTTGGTGATCAGGCCTGAGGCTAAATAAGTATCCAGTGCTTACAAATGACAGAGAATAGACCAGCCATGTAACACTGTGAGGTTTTATGCCCCAGAGCCAAACGCCGCTCAAGGCAAATAAAGCTGCTATTGTGGGTGGCCTACAGTGACCCACAGCCTTGGCAAGGAGACCTCACAGTTACGGCTATTTATTGACCCAAATCAAAGGCCTGACTCAGAGATGTCGAACCCAAAAACTGCCAGCATTTACTAAACTTCATAATCCTGAGTGCTGCCAGAGTGTGGATGAAGTTTATGTAATGAGCCGCTTTGTGAACGCTCAGCATTGCTTTTCAAAGGGGGTTATTCATTCATTCATCAACTAATTTCACATCATGAACAGCTTATGTGTGTGTGTGTGTGTGTGTGTGTGTGTGTGTGTGTGTGTGTGTGTGTGTGTGTGTGTGTGTGTGTGTGTGTGTGTGTGTGTGTGTGTGTGACCACAGCTGCACTTTAGAAAACCTAAACCTATGAAAATGATAGCTCACAGCACAACATTTTAAACCCCCGCCACAATCAAATGTTACGGCCGCTCAAAAACAGATAGCGGCAATGCTCTGATTGAAAAAAAACCCAGTAGATTTCTCCATTACGCAATCCGCTATTTCTAACACCATTTTGTTCACATTTTGCACCACAGTGATAAAACTAGAGTAAATCTAGACTTTGGTGAAGGAGGTCTGGGCGGAGGTACGCACAGAGGGGCCCTTTGCCCCCTGTGTGAGTGAGTCTCAGAGGGAAGTCGTTACCTCCCAACACTGAGCTATTACTCACTGCTACAGTGATGCTGTGAATGACCATTCAGCTATTCTGGGAATAGCAGAGACAAGATGGGGCTCAACTATTTCTCGCCAGAGTGTGAACTGCGATTGTGTGCAAAGGATACAAAGATGTAGTCATCCATGTATCTCTTCTTGAGGTTGTCCACGATGGCGTCCTCGTTGATCTTGCTGAGCAGCACCATGTCATCCACTCCGCTGTGTTTGACATTGTGGCTCTGCCAGTGGTACCGGTAGTGCCCCCGGCTCCCCTGCAACAAAAACACATACAATGCACAATTGTTAGCTCACCACAAAAACACACAATGAGATGGCGTATACTAATCGAGAGTCTGACATCAAGGTGACACAGATGTACAGTTACATGAATGAATTGTGGCTTTAAAGCACACTCAGAGGCTGAGGCAGTGTGGTTTTATCACACTGTTGAGATAATCAGAGAAAATGAAAGCCAAGGGGAACATGCTTGTTATTACAGCAGCGAAACGTTAAAGTGTGCACATTTTCTGATCCCAGCAGCATGATGAGCTGTGCTTACTTTGAAATAGTGCAAGGTCAGATTCCAAGAAGTGCTTTGTGTTATTTGTCCAAGTGTTAAAAATGCTCTAACCCAACTTTTATCCATATCCTAACAATCTGGTTTCTCCCTACATTCCTGTTTTTGTTTTAGCTGAGTGAGTCTCCGGAGAACTGAGGTCATTCATCATGCGCTATGAGTCAGTGTTGTCTGGCTACTGTGGACGAGGGTCACAATGTGCTGTGAGGAGTGAGTCTCTTTCTCCTGGATGGAGAATCACTCAAAGCTGCAGAGAGCATCCAGAACATTAGTCAACACACGAGTTAACTATTGACTTCCTCCCTCTTTAGTGCGAAAGCATGGGGAGAGGAAGCAGCAGAGTGCCCATCTAAACAATACCAGTCGTACTTCAACTGCAAGATACTGTACTTCATGAAGCAGAAGTGCATAGATGTTCTTTAAAAATCAAATTGAAAGAATTGTTGTTAAACCTCAACCTTATTCTGCAGTTCCCTTTCTGTTTTGATTTTTGAGAGTATTTCAATATTATACAGAACATATATCATAACTGCTATGTGCATACATATACTATATATATATATATATTCCACAAAAAAATGAGTAAAAAAAACAATAAATACAGTGAGTAAGTTATAGATTTTAAGCAGATGAGACAAAAACAGCAAAGGGCAAAACCCTGCTAATATCACAAACCTCAAAGTATCACTACAGTACAAAATAAACCAGTGGAAAGTCATTTTGCATTTAGTAATTAACTCTAAATTACTTAGCCAAGGAGGAGGGCCAGCAAGCTTTTAATATCCTCCAGGGTGACTTTATTCTTTACAACAGCAAAATTAAAACCCCTTTACAGACTCGGTCATAGCATGGGAGTTGGCGAGGAATGCTAACAGCTTTTCTGACTAATTCAGTGGGTATTTTCCCTCAGGAGGTAAGCAGCAAATTATAACTTGATTAATTCTCCAGATCACACCCATTAACATGTTCTACTGCCTTTAAGTTGCAGCAGAGGGAGATGCTTCCTTCCTTCCTCAGCAAAAATGACACAGTAATGTCACTCTCAAGGCCAAAAACACCTCCTGACAATGAGTGAAGGGAGAGGGGGAAGTCTAAACATTTGAGGAGTTTAAGAAGCTAATTCAATTTGTGAAGACAATATGTAAACGTTACGACACTTAAGACCCTCGATTTGGATACAGAAAACTACCTAAAGTAAAAAGTAAAAAAGGGAAAGACCTCAAGAAGAGCCACAGGGAAGGAATCCCTCTTTCGGGATAAACAAACATTCAATTGGTGTCCTTTATACAGAGCAGACAGAAGTAGAAATAGTAGAATTACAATATGGAGACAGGCATATATTAGGGAAATATTAAGTGTAATAAGAGAGTTTCAGGCAAAAGGGTTTGGACTAAATGTGGACGTTGAGCAACTCCCAGACTTCCCTGTGTTTTTAGGGCACCATAATGCACAAAAAAAGCCCATAAACTACTACTATACAGGATCATTTTCACAAGCAAGGTGAAGCTGATCCATCAGAATAGATTTATGTTTATTTGAATTTACTTTTTCCTCTGAAGGGCGGACTGGGCCTCAGTACCGTCCAGAGCCCTGTTCTTTATATCAATCATAAACTCAAATGTTCTTTTTATCCAGGCAATTACTAGTTATCCTTTTGCTGCCACCTACTTATTAAAAGTAGTACTTTGACAGATGAGAACCTCTTTTCCTAAAGCAGACGTTAAGAGAGAGCACTGACCCAACCACGAAGTGAAAACAATTGAATATGCTATATTTAACCGCTCTCTGCTATGTCTGGAATGAAAGTTGTGCAGATTCAACAAGGGAGAGGTAATAAGCTGGAGACGTAGGAGGTAGACATCAAATATTCTGAGGATTGTCTCATCTGTTTTTATTTAGGCCTTGTGTAATGAAGCAAGAGGACTAAGAAAATATTCTCACGTACAGCGGTGTACTAAGGGAGTAGCTGCTCAGGGAGGAAGGGCTGCACGCACACACAAAGACGTCTGGGAGGTGCCTGAAACAACCACACTCCTCTGCTGCTGGCAGCTGAGCAGCACCAGAGCAGCCAGGGGTTGAGGGTCGTTATACTCAAGTGACTGTAGTAGGGATGCTGGGGCGGAGGGTCACTTGTGCTGGGTTATGAACCAGAACCATTCACGAAAATACTTAATCGTATTACCATTAAATCCAAACTGCTCCACCGGTTCCAATCCAGACTCTTAGCGTGTAAAGCTACATACTGTAATGATTTGCACCGACAGCAGATGTTTCACAATCTCAACAAAATGTATTTTTTGAATCTGGCAAATGATGATTTTTTCTAAATGTTTTAATGAGTTCTGGATTTTCTTGTAATGTTGCTTACACTGTAATTAAACAAGCATAACCCAGTGAGGTAGAGGCTGCTCACTGACTCCTATATTTATCACATTGTCATGTTACTGAATACAACACAACTATGGTAATGCCTGCAAGGGAAATAGGGCATATTTGGTTTGGCAGTACAACAACATACAGACTGCACATTACAAAAGATATATGTAACACTTAATGTTAAATTGCCAGATTGACAGAATAATATCAGCCCATCAGTACCTGATGGCAGAAGGGAGGATTCACTCACAAAGAACATGAGCAAGTAGATAAAGTTAGCATGTTAATGGTTACAAAAAGGAAATTAAATTAGATTTTTTTATTCATCCATACAAAATGAAAATGGTTTCATTGTCAAACATTTTCTCATACGATACAGATTTTCTCACAATTTGTTGTAATTTTATAGGTTTTATGATAATAAATCCAATTGTTTCAAAAGGAAATCTGAGTTTCTGAAGGCCTGTGGCGTGCGTCATAGTGTACACACACACACACACACACACAAACACACAAACACACAAACACACAAACACACACACACACACACACACACACACACACACACACACACACACACACACACACACACACACACACACACACACACACACACACACAGGGGACATCTGGCACAACTAGAGTCTATACGGTGGCCATAACAACGCCATCACCGTGGAACCAATTTACTTCGGAGCACAGCAACACACAGACTCATTAAAGAACCGGGCATCTGACATCACAAACATATTCTGTTTAGGAGTTGGATCTAAATATATATTTTTACAGATACCGTAACAAAAAGAAAACAAATGGAAGAACACAAAAAAAGGTAATTGGATCACCAAAACCAATGGGGCCGGACCTTTTTCCAGAAGTTAATACAAAAGAATTTCAATACCAGTCCTGATCCATAAGCCCAGGGTTTCCCTTCATGCAAATACCATTACCATATATGGAGAATGCTGAGCCGCTCTGGCTCAGGGTACAGGAAATGGCTGGGTTTGATTCAGTATCATAAGCGGCACTTTTCCCCTCATTTCTCCCTTCTGTGCCGTTCTCCTTTTCCACACCAGGATCTGACACACAGTCCACCATGTGTCAGAACTACGTTTCTGCTCTGCCCTCTGAGGCAAAATCTGGATAAAAGCCATGAGAACGAATTCCTCTCTTCTAAAATAAGAAGCAACTAAAGTCGTTAATCACTCTGCACCAAAAGTCTGGAGAAATCACACAACTTCGAGACAAGCAAATGACTGAGGACAAATATGTAAAGCAGACCACATCTGGCGAAGGTAAATTGAATACTGGTCAAATATCTAAATAGCTGAGAGCTTATTTGTGCCACAAAGAGTTGAGTTTCTGTACAGAACCAATCTAAGTCTGTTGGTTGTCATATGTTAGCTGAAGCCTCTTAAGATAAATCTAGCTTAAAACACAGCCTTCTTAGTGCTACAAGGCAGACTATTACTGTAGGTCAAGTACTGAATGAGACTAGGGGAAAATGCCCAAAGCATTTCAGTGGATGTGGCTTTGACTTTCAGCCTGGAGTGGACTGCTTTAGGAGAGCCCCCATGTCTGGTAAGCCCTCATGTATTAGATTAGCTGTGCCACCATGTACCAGCTTACTTGACCTCATTTCTAAAGTCAATGCTGCCTTGCAAATGTCATGTTCAAATTGTGTTTCCATTATAAAATTAGTTTTTAAAAATTATTGCTTTGACAATATACTTATACAGTGCATGTTTTTGTAGTTCAGACCTTACACACAGATCATTAATTTCTCATATGCACTAGTGCCTGTAGCGATATATTAATGCTATAATTTCTTTCTGCAGCCAAATTACATGGCATCTCAAGTTTGAGATCTTTAAATCTTCATCTCTACTTTCTTCCTTTAGAAAAGTTCAAGAGCAACCTGAGGCCAAAGAAAAGATGATGCTCTTGTTCAGCGATTGCTGTGGATGTAAGGGACTGAATTCCGATGTGTCACTATTTCCAAATTATTATCAGTATACGACAATGGCTATGTGATGAAAAGGCTGCTGGTGAAAGAGCCAAGGACAAAGATCCAAGTAATCTAATTTGGTAAACATGTGTCACAAATTAAAGCACAAATTCAGGATAATTCCAGTCATGGCTGACGAGTTCAAAGAGTTTCCAAAGGGACTTTTATGAAATGCATTTTGTTTTTTTGTTTTACCATTACATTTATAATAGTCTAGAAATGATTGATTTGGCCTTCACTTCTGACTGGAAAGAATAAATCTTCCTTCTACTTTGTTTCATTTTAGGCAAAAACATCTCTTCCTTTGCTCAGATGATTGAAATTGAGTTGATTAGAGGAAGAAGGATGTGTTGGGTCTATAAAAGTGCAGCTGTTCTTAAAGTGGAGAAGTGAATTAGGGGGAAATGATCTGGTGTTGCACTTGATCATTTTGATTTACAGCTGGTAAATTTGAGATGCTCAGCTTGTTGCTGAGAACTAACAAGACCTGAGGTAGTTAAAAGATATTACTACAGTACATCACAAAACCATTATTCTCTGAGATCACAGTGTGGGGAACAGATGATATTCTTACGGACAGGAACATATTGGTGTTGATGCAGCAGGCGGAACACTTCAAGCACCATACCAGTTGTTTTGTGTGTTTTAGCCCATTAACTGCAAATTATAAATTGTTTACATAAGTATACCATAAGACTTCTTTATTTCCAACCAATGCAGCCCCTGCCAGCATTTAATTTCAGTATAATATAAAAATCAATGTACAGAGACTTAAGATTTGATTTTGATAGAGTGAACAACTTATTTTGTTTGACAACGTTACATAATTGTCACACAGTGATGTCCTGTAGCAGTGACTGGAAAAATGTATCCAACCTGAGAATAACCTTCTTAATGCAAGACAACCATATTTGCATTGTCCATGATGTTCTTCTCTTATTGTCTCCTCTGGCTTTACTTTTCCAACAATCCAAAAACATGGAAACCCTATAAATGCAATGCTTTCTGAAGATGACTCTCTAATCATCAGATGTCTGAGCTTCCTTGAATGCACCAACGAAGACTACTTTTCAAAACTCCCTCTCTGTGTGAAACTGTGTTATCACACAAACACTTTATCGATTGTAAGAAAAAAAGGCACCCAAATGTCTGCTATGATAGATTACCTATCTCAGGAAAGTCTGAAAGGAAGTTCACTGCTATAACAAAATGGTACACTCCAATGAACTGTATATGTATATAAATTGCAAATATCCCTGAAACTAAACCATGAACACTGATGAAACAGTAAATATGGGATATTTACGTCATAAGTCACTATTTTTTGTCTAGTGCTACTATTGGACACCATTTCAAACTACTAAATGGTTTATAATTTCCACCAAGACTGCCAGTAACGTGTGGGTAGATTTTTACAGTTTTTTCCCCCGTACTCCTCGATGGAATCCAAAACATATCTGGTTTGATCTAAACTAAACAGAGCTTAAGGAGTAATACTCTCTAAACAGCATTTCCACCTGGTCTCTGCTGCTTGCATTTGCACTTTGTCCAAGATCACTCACTGTGTGTAATCGGGCCAGATGCAGATAAAACTGCTGACTGAGATAGTTGGTCATTCCAAGGGAGAGGAAAAAATAAACAATGATGAGAGACAGAGTCGAACCTCAGTAGAAGAGTGTGTGTGTATGTGTATGTGTATGTGTGTGTGTATGTGTGTGTGCGTGTGTGTGTGTGTGTCAAAGGAGCAGTGACCCACAGTGTGAAGACGCTCTGATCCTGTCTGAACCGCTGAGGGATGAGGTGCTCATTAAGGTTACACTGGCCCCTGCACGACACACACACACACACACACACACACACACACACACACACACACACACACACACACACACACACACACACACACACACACACACACACACACACACACACACACACACACACACACACACACAGCATCTTCATCTAAATTGATGCTGAAAACTCCAGATGAGGCTGGCACTTGATTAAAAGAGTAATCAGCAGTGAATTAGAGTGAATTACACAGAGCAGAAAACAGTTTCTGCACAACTCTCTCTAAACTGAAACTGTTGATAAATGATTAGACTCTAGTCACACTAAACATTAAAGTGAACTATTCTCTGACTTTGTGGAGCCATAACATTTTTGTTGTTAACATATTTAATTTGGTTTCAAGAAAACATATCACCTTATGGTTCTCCACAGACAATGATCCATTCATTGTCTGAGAGGCCTTAGATTTGAGTTCACAGTGACAGCACAAAATCAAGTGTACATTCTCAGACATAAGAATGGTAAAGTTTCACAATTAATTGGGACACAGCAATATTAAGATGTGAAGTTGTAAAATGGATGGCATTTCCTTTCAACCCTAAAACACAGCCACAACGCCAGCAGCCCTCGCCTGAGTTACTGCCAAGCAAACAGTGGTCACTGCAGGGATCCAAGCCAAGACTCATCAGTGAACTGGTGAACGATTGTCATGTCAGTGAAAACCGCTCTGACCTGGCAATTATTGTCATCTACTGGGGACAATAATCACTGAAAGTGGTGCCTTCACAGGAAATGTGAAATGTGAGTACTCTTGAATTTAACGTTTTATTTTCTGTAAGTGATAAACACTTGTACATCTTTGCACTTCATAACTGTGACAGTGGTCACTTGCATGTAATTGGGACAGAGGTATAAATAATGCAGACCAACAAGCCTGGTTCTCTGTTTCCATGTCTAGATTACTCACGCTGTTATGGATCTGAGCTGCTTGAGGTCACGAGAAAAGAATGAAAAGAAATATATTATTCTGCTACGATTTGGTAACATGAGCACCGACTGGTTGTAATGATTGTTATAATGCTTTGCCTGCAGGGCAGGGCTGAGCACTGTCCCTCCCAGAGAAAGAGGATATAATGATCAAGTGAAAACTGATGCCAGATGACTTTTAACACATCTCCGACTGAACTACACAAAGCTTCAGCTTTACAGTGGTAGCACTTTTCTCTGGGTATAGTAAAACCATGGAAACTTGAGAGCTGCTGATTTTAAACATCTCAAATTGAATCGGCCCTTTTTAAAGGATGACAACAGCAACAAGACTTCTAATAAAATACAATATCAAAGACAACGTGGTTTAGGGTGGAATTCAGCTGAAATCCTACAAGTAACAAAACACTGTAGTTTCTTTTTAAAGCAGCCTCAGTAGTGGTTGGATGTAAACAAACCATCTGCTCATTCATAGCCATTTCTTGTGCCACAGCAGGGCTGCAGTCTCAGGTTTGAATCAGTGAAATCCAAACCAGCATCTTCCCTAGTAGCAACTGAATACACGCAAATACATGTTAGACACAAATTGCAGACTATTTCAATCTGACACTGAAGAGGGAGGAGAAGCTTGACAGAGTGAATCATGTGTAAGAACGAAGCAGTACAATGTACCACTCCTCTAGTATCAGCACTAAGAAGCTACAGTAACAGTTTAAGTCTTTAAATAGCTGCCAAGAGAAAAGCAACTAAAGTCAAGGTCTCTAAGAGAGCTTCCATCTGAATCATTGCTGTTGCTTCTAATCTAATATCTCTACTAAAAGAAGATAAACTAGAAACACCTCCAGGGCTCAGTCAGAAAACAGAGGTACATCTCTGAAAAACACACAAAATCATACAAATTCTTTCTCTGTGGGACAAAACTGTTTGAGTAAGTCATGAGTACAGCGCTGAAACATCAGGCCCTGACGTTACTGTGAGAAAGGTCGCTCAAGGTTATACAACGTCAGCCCTGAGCTTTAAACTCAGAGGAAGAATGCATTTTAACGACACTGTGTGGTAAACGACGCTTGCTCTCCAGAGAGTTTTTAGCTCATTTGAAAATTGTAGGAGACTCGATAAAGAGATCAAAAAGAACTATGATGTTAATCTTTCTCACTGTAACTAAAACTAAAAAAGCTTTGGCCAGCATATTTATAACTGTGAAGACAAGTCCATCAGAGTTTTCTGCTGCATGTTTGTTGGGTGAAGGGGTGTGGTGCATGATGCATGATGAATGGGAGCTTAATGACGGTAAACCTTATCAACTCCATTAAAGGGAACACAGTAATAATGCAGCTAAAAGAATGACTCAGCTATTAAATTTCATGCACTGACAGGACAGAAAATCACCCAAGTGCTTCCCAGTATGCGGTACACAGAGCACCAGTCAGCACTGGTTGATGGTGTATACTGTTACTCCCCTAATTAAAGAGGAGTGCTAAAAGTGTAACAAAAATACAAAAAACAAACAGAGGGTTGTGCTTACAGTGTATTTAAAAAAAGAGGACAAGAAATGTCTGCTGATATGAAATAAATAGGTGGCAACTTAAGATAAGAATTGCATTAAAGTTTGCCTTCAGCTTGATTTGCTTCCTTGGCTTCATATCAGTAATTTAACTGTCTTTTATGAATAATGACAAGCTTTCTAAGTGCAGGGATGGAAAATCTGAAATTCAAGTCAGAGAGGTTCATTGCTTTATTGTTCTGTACTGAAAGGACATCCACCACCACAAGAGTACATTGGTTCCAAAAACAGTTAATAGACATACTGTGCATATTGTATTATAAATTGGCACATTAACTGCTAACAGACAGTGTGTGTGATATTAGAGAGAGATTAGAGAATTATTGTGACATTTTCTAAAGTAAACAGTAAATTTAAGTACAATTAAACCTCAAATAAATCAATACCTGTTTACTGCAGTGTCAAACATAGAATATTTTGCAGGAGTTAATCCACCCTGCTGTTTGTCACACAAGAAAAACTACTTGAAAAGTAGCACAAGGATTGTACCACCATCTATTTGTGATAGAAAGGTTTCACATTTCAACCACAGGCAGCACATTTCAATCAGGTCATCAGAAAATAAAGCTGGTGAATGTCCTGTATATATAATATACAGTAGTACCCAGTTGGAATGAGCACAAGGATGAAGTTTACAAGCCAAAGCATCCAAAATGTATTACATCATTATTTCAGCAATTTGGTTAGTTGTATTAATTTCATTGTGACCCAGCTGCAGTAAGGAACCACTAATGATCCTACAGAAGTAGCCAGACCTAACACTCTTCAGGTCCAAGTCAATATTTGTTTTGGCCTATCAGTGATATTATTATTATTCTTTTTTTAAAGAAAACCACATGGAGAATAAAAGTAATTACATGATAACATTAGCTCTGACAACTGAATACTACATGACATGGAGTAGCCAGACAATTGATAAATATGAGAGGGAAAAGTGTCAACTACAGCAGGAATCTATTTAAACTGAAATCACTAATCTTTTATCATTTCATAATGTCCCCTCTGTTAATGCTAATGTATACTCTTATAGTATTATATTTTGTTGGCATAGTTAGCATGTATAGTACACTGTACATCTCTTTGAAAATAATCATAATAAGTTGAAGAGGATGCTATTCTGACACTCCAGTGATTCCACAGTTAGAAATGTACTGACTCAGCCCTGCCATAGGACATGTGCCAAAAACAGACAACTAATTCAAACCAGCTAATTTTGACTTTGTTTCCAGTCAGTTAGTTCACGTCGTTGTAGAGAAACCAAAAAAAACTGACAAGCTTTTTAAAAGCTTTGACTCAGTTCTCTCCATTGATCACCGTCTACCCTTCAGTGAGGTTTTTCCCATATGGTCTGTACCAAAAACACAACCTGATGTTTTGTGGATATCACTGTAAGATATTCACTTTACAACTTCCCTTAAATAAAAAGTCTCACAACAAAGGATGCATCCCATTTTGACAGCATGTCCCTAACAGATACAAGAGAAAAACTCAACCATAAAATCCCTCTTTTCTGTACGGCATTTTACTTCCCTGTGCCAGTACTGTGTCTCTGTGAGGAAGTGGGGTTAAACAATAGCAATGTACTGGCCAAAACTACTTCATCTGACAACATAAAGACAAATGAGGTTTCCACTGGTCAGAGAAAGACAGCCCCCTCTGACTCAGAGGCCAAACACTGGCTGGCATGGGACGATGGGAAGCTATCAGAGCAGATAACCCGAGCACAGCTGCAAGAGCCTGACCTTGTTCCCTGCCCACGATGAGGGAAGTCATACATGCAAATAGGCAGCTATAACAGGACACTGCTTGGTTCATGATCTAAGAACAAGTTAAACAAACTAAACAAGCATTAAATGACGTTACTTTGTGCAGTTCTTACAGAATTATGTTCACACATAAGAGCATTTATAATGACAAAGGTAATTTATCCTTTACTTTATCCCCTGTTTGAAGTAAAAGAGAAGTGGTGCAGGCCTTGAGCAGGGAAGAATAATAACAGCTGAGCAAGACAATTTTTATTTAACAGCCTGCAGCTTTTTTTTATTATGTTACAGACAATGACTTTCAGCACAGACACTAAGACGACAGATAATATAATCCATCAACTCTTATCAAACAAGTCCATCTACTGGAAAGCAGGCTTCACTTCTACTAGTATGATCGGCATGTTTACCTACTCGAGTTAACCCAAACCTAGAACAGCTACATGTACAGCTGTGCTTAATGAGACCACTCACTCCAATTTTAAATGAAAACGTTGTGAAAAGAATTAATATAAACACAATTAAACTCCTACATTGTTAACAAGTTAAGAGGGTACAGTCATACCAGAGGTTCTGTGAGGTTGCACATAGGCGCAGTGGTGCATTAAGTTAAATGCTAAAGTCAGCATGTTACAAGCACACAATGACAATGACCTTTGATCAT